GACGGATACGAGCGCCGGTTTGGAGACCAGGGTCTGACGGCGTTGGGGGGGTTTTACGGGCAGCCTTAAAGCAGGTTCAATTGAGGAAGGCAGACCGAGAGACTTGGGCATTGGGAGGTGGCACGCTGAGTTGAAATACTCCGGCACAGGTGATGAGCACTGTCGCATTCGCAATCCTGGACAACAGGGAGAATGGTCTGCTATCTCACGAGCTCAGTGGACTCTAAAGCGCATCATCTCTGGTCCGACTGACAGCCCATCAATGATACCTTCGCAGTCTTCTTGCAGCCATTGATGCTGGTTCTCCGAGACTGCATAATTCGAAAGTTGTCTTGTCCATGGAAGGGGGCGGATTACGTTGTCCTCTTCGCCATGATTCAGCAACTGCGTGAAAGCAGACCTGTTCCAAAGCTAAGCAGCTACCTCCGAATGCTTGTTTGTTTTTTTTTTCTGCGTCTCAGTACTATGGCGCCTCTGTTATGTCCTGTTGCAAAAGCAAAGGTTGAACTGTTGATTCGTAAAGCAGGCTGCCGCTGCAACATTCGTTTTCGGCTTTGACTCCCCCCACTTAGCCCGACCCCGAGCGCAAGACCGAGGCCGACCCCGAGCCCGCGGCGGAAATACCCAATCCAGCCACAACCTCGGATTTATGCAAGGTAATGACTTTTTTCTCGTCTTATGGCCGAGTGCATGCACGCCTGAATAAAGGAGCATCATGCTCACTACTTATCTTTAGTCTCAACCGCATCTCATCCCCGGCAAAAGACAGAAGTCCAATCATGTCTCCATCGGAAGAGAATCATCAGCACCACCCGCAACAACATGAAAACACCGTGCTAGCCCGCGTCCTGGACGAAATGGGGCTCGTCACCGTCTGGCGGTCCCCGCGCGACGTGAAGCTCCTCTGCGCCCAGCGGTTCGTGCGGCTGTTCGCCTACGGGGCCTCGACACTAATCCTCGTGTCGTATCTCTCCGCCTTGGCCATCTCGGAGGAACGCATCGGGTTATTTATGACTTTGACCTTGGTCGGGGATGTGGTGATTAGTTTTCTCTTGACGTTGTTTGCGGATGCGATGGGGCGGCGGGCGGTCTTGTCGTTGGGGTCGGCGTTGATGACGGGGAGCGGGGTCGTCTTTGGCCTTGGGGCTGGGTTTTGGGGGTTGCTGGCTGCTGCGGTGCTAGGAGTTATTAGTCCAAGGTATGTCTTTACGAATCTCTCCATTGCGCCTTTTGATTTTCTATTAAATTTTTTTTTTTTTACTTCTTACTTCTGTTTACTACTACTTGTGTTGGCCGTATGTGAGGGGAATCCTGCTAATCCAGCTTTCAGCGGCAACGAGATCGGCCCCTTCCGGGCGGTGGAGGAGTCCACGCTGGCGCATCTGACCCCCCACGAGCATCTAAGCGACATCTTTGCTTGGTATTCTCTCCTCGGGACGGCGGGGACGGCCCTGGGCATGATGTCGTGCGGGTGGGCCATCAAATTCCTGCAAGTCACGAAAGGGTGCGATTTCATAGCCGCCTGCCGGGTCATGTTTTTCGGGTATGCTGCGGTCGGGGTGGTGAAATTGGTTCTGACCCTCTGCTTAAGTCGAAAGGTGGAGGCGATCCAGGAGGAGGATCGTGTGGCGGAGGAGGCACAGGAATCTGGTGAGACTGAGGCGCTGCTGGGTGATAGTCCACGCGCAGAGTCTCAACAACAACAGCAGCAGCCGCCAAAGACGGATAAGCCGTCACTCTTCGCTGCGTTTGATCGTGACCTCCTGAGCCTGGTGCTCAAGCTGTTCCTGCTTTTTGGATTGGACTCGTTTGCTTCAGGGCTTGCGTCGCTGTACGTCCCCCTCTAAAGGCTTTGGCATTCCATACGCATACTAAGCTGGCTGCAGTTCCTGGATGACATACTTCTTCAAGCGCAAGTTCTCACTCCCCGAGAGCGAGCTGGGGTCAATTTTCTTTACCACCTCGATCATTTCCGCTGCGTCGATGATCGTCGCATCTTCTATTGCGAAGCGCATTGGTAACGTCAAGGTCCGTGGCAGCCCTTTTGAATCCTCTTTTCGAAATTGGTGAGACTAACTTCTCTCACAGACAATGGTCTTCACTCACCTCCCCTCCGCCATCTGTCTCGCCATGATCCCATTCCCGTCCGCTCTTCCCCTGGCTCTGATGTTCCTGATCTTGCGAGCGTGCACGCAGAACATGGACGTGGCCCCGCGGTCGGCCTTCCTGGCCAGCGCGTTGCCTTCGGACAAGCGCACCGCTATCATGGGCGCAGTAAACGTGGTCAAGACCAGTGCGCAGAGCATGGGCCCGCTGATCACCGGTGTGCTGGCTAGTAGAGGGTTGTTCGGGGCCTCGTTCACTGTGGCTGGTGTCTTGAAGGCATGCTACGATATCGGCATGTTGGTTTGTTTTGGTGGGCGGAGTGCGCGGAGGTAGATGGAATGGGCTAAGAGAACTAGCCAAAAGCACATCCAAAAGCATTGTTTAGAATTGAGGGTTTGTCATTGGACGCACAGGTGCTGTATGTTGCTGGTGAGAGCGAGGATGCTCCGCTCAGCTTCATGCATTGTGCCACGATAGATTCCAACCAATGTTTGCGATATTACTACGGTCACCTTGCCCGGGAACTGTGTCACGAATCGGTGGGGGCAAGGATCTTCACTCATTATCAGCACCTCGTGCCACCCTATGTTGAAGAAACTCGTATCGCGGATTAGATCTCGATGCCGTCGTTTCTGGGGGGGAGCAGGGGAATTTCCGGCAGTGTTCATTCCCCTGACAGGGTCGCTCCTGCCTGCGTCAGTATTTATTCTCCGAGGGCTTGACATTCGATCGACCATGGTTCCAGTAACTACAACACTGTTTTCTCATAAACTATTAGTATCCACTATACACAGCGAGCACGTTAAACGCGACTCTATTCCACCTCCATTAGACATAATATGAAGACATAAAGACAGCAGCCACTCACACCATTCACTCCCCTGCGAAAGCATCCACACAATGTCCGTCAGCGACCTCGTCGTCGACACCTGCATCATCGGCGGCGGCGCAGCAGGCGCCTACGCCGCCTACCGCCTGCATCAACTCAATCACACCGTCGCCATCATAGAGCGCGGCCCTCATCTCGGCGGCCACACCGTGACCTACCGCGACCCGATTATGACCAACAACCAGCCCATCGACTACGGGGTCACCTGGCTCCAGAACCTGCCCGTCATCCGCGACGCCTTCGCCCACTACAACATTCCCCTAGTCAAGGAGAAAATCGAGTATGCGATCGACATGTTCGACTTCGCCACCGGGGAGCCCATCACTCCGATCCCCGCCAACGAGACCATCGCCGCACTTGACCGCTACGAAACCCTCCTCGCCCAGCACCCTTACCTCGAAACCGGGTTCGAAGACCTCCCAGAGCCCGTGCCGGAGGATCTGATCGCGCCCTTCCAAGAATTCATGGACAAGTACCATCTAGACGGGCTTCTCAACACCTTCAGCTCGTGGCTCAGTGGGCTCGGCGAGTGGCCGGACTACCCGACGCTGTATGTTATGAAGTACTTGGGGACAGACTATCTGGCCGGCCGACTTCGACTGGGGTGGGTGCGGCCGCAAAGCCACGACGCGAGCGAGATCTACCGGGCGATGGAGCAAGAGTTGCGAGTCACCCAAACTATGCTGTTCAACAGTAGCGTGGTGAGGGTGGATGCTCGGGACTCTGCTGCTGATCGCGTGGTGGTGGATGTGGCCACGGTGGACGAGACACGAAGGCAGGGCATATTCACAAGCCGCCTCCGCATCCGTGCAAAGATCCTTCTCTTCGCTGCGCCTCCCTTACCGGACAACCTCGAGGTGCTGGGCTTGGATGAACGGGAACGGTCGCTGTTTCGCCAATTCAAGGACCCATGGTTCTACACGGCGCTGATCCGGGTGGACGGGTTTCCTAACGACACCTTCCTGGAGAACCACGGCAGCAAGCAACCCTTTCATCGCCCGCGTCTTCCGGCTGTGTTGGCGTTTCGGCCAACGGATGTGTCTGGAATTGTCAGGGTCACGGTGGGGAGTACATCGCGGGGTCTCTCGGAGGCGGAGGTGGAGAGGTGCATCCGCGCCGGGGTGGACAGCGTGCGGCGCAGGTTGGGCGGCGGCAACGTCTCGGACCCGAAGATCCTGGTGGTGCGCGATCACTCGCCTTATACATTGACAGTCTCGGGAGCGGCGGTCGCGGCGGGGTTCTATCGGCAGCTGAGTGCGTTGCAGGGCTACCGGCGGACTTACTACACGGGCGCGACGTGGGATACGCATCATATGCCTCAGGTGTGGATGGTTACCGATCAGGTCCTGCAGAGGCATTTACTTCCCGGGCTGCGGGGGATGAAAGGTTGACATTCCTGGGGCTTGTAGGCTAGACCGGGGGAGGAGTCTCTCCGATGTATACACTGTTACGGTTTGGCTAGATTTGCAGCTGGGAAGTTCGTATTCCGATGTCGTGCGACGATCCTGGGTTGCAATAATCAGATAGTGGTCTGCCCGGCATGTATACTGAGATCATGTGCGAACATGAAAGTGGCGATTGTCTCTATAGATAGGACGAGATCTAGTCCCAGCTGTCTCGCCCATCTTGGTGCCACTGTTCACTCACTTCCCAGCTGCTCTGTGCTCAGAGAAAGCCAATGGATACATTGTGCGTCTGCGCCGCTATATACATATTTCCCATTCGGGTCTTTTATCTCATCTCACAGTTACCGTAGTTACTACAAGCTCGGTCGCGAGTTTGTACATTTCAGGAAGGCGGTAACCTGTCCGACTTGACACTGCGAAGTCGACCCTCATTATAAACCACAATTTGGTAACGAATTTAGAACACCAAAAAGAAATATGCTTAATCAGATTTCAGAGAAGTCAATGCAAGTTATGGTAATTTCAGATCCGTATAATCGACTCTAAGTGTATATCCGATGGCCCAAAACAATGTGCCGTCAGCACTCACACCCTTATCGGTGAAAACATATATTCCCGCACCGGAAATCCCTCCAGAGGGCCCGACGCAACTAAATTCTTCCCCCAAACTGCTGTTATATGTACAAGACAGTGGCATCCCCACGATCCACCCCTTTTATTTGAGAATCAAGAAAAAGCCGAAAATTTACTGCTTCTGCTCCTCCCCGGGCACCAACTCCTCGAAGCGACGGAGATCCATCTCCTTCTCGAGCAGGGGGATGACGTAGGGGTCGAAGGTCTTCCAGTAGGGGTTCTCGAGGTGGTACTTCTGGGAGCCCTCGTTGAGGTAGCGCTCGACGATGCAGAAGTCCTGCTTGTCGTGCACGCTCTGCATGACGAACCAGGAGAGCGTCTCCTTGTCCTTGGAGTAGACGGCCGAGGCCTCGAGGAGCTTGGCGTGCAGCTTGTTGATGCTCTCCTCGTCGGGCTTGGCGCGCATGTCTGTCGTTTCCAGCAAGTGGTGTTAGTTTTGCGGGTTTGAGTTTGGGAAATTGGGGAGGATGAGGTTGTGGGAGTGGGCGAAGTTGAAGGGTAGGGATTCACGTACGGACAACGATGGTGTAGACCATTTTGGCGGGGTTTGTGGTTTTGTGAGGGGTTGAGGAAGAGGTGAGTGAGGTTGGAGGAGAGTTGGACAGTGAAGAAGCCCGGGGAACAAGCAGGGTGGTCGGATTGTTTTTGTAGGTTGGAGAACCAACCCCGGTTGACTGCGCTCCTGAACCCCCCACCCCTCATGGTCTCACCCTCTGTGCCCCTCGGTGGGGCAATGGGGGGAGGAAAGGCTTTCAGCTTGGAAAGTTACTCCATACTTTGGCCCGGTGAAGCGGGCGGATGTTCCCCGCGTGGTTGCGGTCGGATGAGTTAGTTCACAGGTTTCTACAGGTAAAAGCTAAAATATAACAATGTGTTGGAGTTAGGCATGGCGATCCATTCCGATTCAGCTGGCTGGGCTGGCAGTAGGTTTGTGTATTTGCATTAAATGAATCGCAAAGCCGAAGGTCGCTCTCCGAATCTTGAGGGTAGGGCATCCCGATCAGGTGGATCCGAACTCTGTTTCGGTGTTTCTTCGGGGGGCCACCGATGCCGGCGATCCCATTGGCGGGAGAGCAGGAGTCGTGCGTCATACTCCAGGTTTATTCTCATCGAAGCAAGTCATTGGGTGATGTCTGTACAAAGTGTATGTAATTCAGCTTCAGGTTGGTGAAGTGTTGCCTCTGGTTAACTCGATGCTGCCCATTCAACCGCAGCAGTTCCTTCCAGCTTTCATAGGTCACTTTTTGTGGCCAAGGAGAAAAAATGTATAGAAGGCATGGCAATGGGAGATACATGTCCAATAAACTTGCGAAAGCGTCATTCAAATATCAGCTAGGCTAAGATGCCCAATTGAAATATGAGGACCGCTCTTGATCCTTAACACTCATCAATTGTGTTCCCGTGGGGGAATACGATAGGGAGAGCAGAATCATGACCGCCTATCGCTCCTGCAAGCGGTGACGGCTCGGAACAACAGATGATCCACAACGCGGAGCCCTAGCTTGCCTGTATGTAAGTACCGATTAAGCCGATAGGACTCAGCTTCATGATATGACACCTAATTTCGATTAATTGGAGAGGCTCTGTTCATGAGCCTGATTCTCGAAGAGACAGACAACAAGAGTTCAAGCCAAGGCAGCATGCTACTTGACGTGAATCATAGTAGACAGAATACTCGACCTGCTGCGACAAATAAGAATCGATATTCGATAACATTGTTCCATGACTGTCTCTTATCAGTTGGGTGTAGTCTCTGCAGCATAAGAAATGAACCAGTGCCCAGTTGAGTCTAGCGTCATGTCAAAGCGGAAAAGTTCGGGTGGGTCATAAGTGTGCCCCTCGCACAACCTCCGGGGAGTAGAAAAGGCCACAAAAAGTAACTCTTGGAAGTTTCTCCGATGCGGGGAATCGAACCCCGATATCCTGTGTGAAAGACAGGTATGCTAGCCGTTACATCACATCGGAGGTGGTTGAAGAATGAAATGGTTTTGATTCCCAAGTAGCAAGATAGGTATAGCATCACAGCATCTCGACACTGTGCCCGAGTCTTCCACCGCCCCCACGCCGGGAACCATAGTCAGAACTACTCAATTAGGCTAAATACTCTTGGGAACGTGACTGGTAAGCTGCAGAACTGGTCAGTATCACCTCTTCTCAAGTGTTTGACATCTACTCTACGTCGAGGTCTCTATGTTATATAGCGTTGCCCTTATTGCTAGTTGGAAAAAAATAAGACTCCGCTACAACATCAATTGTGCGAGTCCGGAGTCCCCGATAATGAGTTGTGCTGTTAGGATGGAATAGAAGTGAGTTATTCTTCTACAACACCCTACAGTCGTTGACGTGAGGTAGGGCTGGGTCTGACCGTGCAGTCCAGCCCGGCATTCGCCCTAATAAATTTTCCGTCCTTGCCGGCAATCCAGTCTCCGGGGCTTTGGAACTGGGCATGCATGCCCAGGCGCAGAAGACCTTCACAACTCATGACTGGGCATCTTTCCGCAGCCCAGGCCTCGGCGAATGTAGTAGGTAATTCCGAGGAGAATCACCTACGTACCTCGAACATCTTCAAGACTCTAACCGTATAACCCCTCAACCATGGTCCAAGAAAACACACAAACCATCATGGAACGATCCATCACCCTGCAGAACACGAGTCAGCTAGCCCGCCTTGTCTCAAAACCCCCTCATACTCCTCCTTCCTCCTGGGCCTCGTGTCAGCCCAGATGTCCCTCACTCGCCGTGTTCCATCCGCCACTAGTTGGTTATCTGATTGATCCAGCCACCCCCGGCCAACCCGAATGGCACGCTATGCTGGCATCCGCATCGTTGAAAACGGGGGGAACATGGGTTGACAAGTTCATGTCTGCATGTCTCGTCCCTTCAGCTGCACCGAGCAGGCCACTCAGCCCGCCGGGTCGCAAAAAAAAGAACCTCATCAGTTACCTAAAGGGGCAGGCCGGATCCGCTGCGAGCCGACGCGGGATGCACCCTAGCGCAGGTCGGCAACCAGGCACGGAGCGATAATCGCTCGTATTCCATCTGCTTTCGGCACAATTAGAAGTCTGGACAAGTTACCTAGACTGACGCTACGCCGCTAGTTTCGTTTCGTTTCTAGGTGGCGAAAAAAAAAGGTCGCCAGGGTCTTACCCGAAGAGCGGGGGGTTTTCGTCTTAGTGTCGCCAAAACCACAACTTGATCCCTGCTTCGATACTGCCAAGACGGTGCGTGTCTTGCCGCTGCAGAATTCCATTCGCGCTGTCTCAACTATGGGGCTAATTATAGCACCAGAAGAAGTATGGTAGTATCCAAGATTGGAGATGGGTCGGTTCGAAGAGTCCCCTTCGTAGGAAGAAAAAAAAAGAGACCCCTGCGGGGGTGTACGGTGGGGTTGTCAGCCAGCGGTTCCATGGATCGGATCGACTATAAGAAGGGGGAGGAAGCAGCAGGGCTGGTCCTGATTTCAACCATCCACCAAAATAAATCCTCATCTCAAACAGCCATTCGAACCTGCAATAATGAACGCCCTAACTACCCTCCTCACCGTCCTCTCCGCAGCAACCAGCACCAGCGCCCTCTCCATCCAACCGCGCGACCCGGCGCCGGCCTCCATCACCCCGCCGGAGGGGTGCCCCATCCCGACCTGGGAGGTGACCTACTTCCACTGGTTCAACGGCTCCAAGTCGCTGGACTGCATCCACAACCCGGCCGACATCGCCTTCAAGGACTGCCTGTGCGGTAACGCCTGGTGCGACCAGGACCCGGCCACCTGCAACGGCACCATGGTCCCCGTCTGCTACACGGGCATGCCCAACTACCAGCCCTGGGGGTACGGGCCCCCGCAGACGTTAGCCATTGATTTCTCTGATGGCCTGGAGTGCCGCGACACGTACATCGGCTACCGCATCCACGACATCGCCCACGGCGAGTCCAACTGCGGCTACGCCGACCGCGGCCTGGGCCGCATCGTCTCGTTCTACGGCACATCGAACGAGGACGTCTCCGTGGGCCACATGGATTATGAGCTCGGCTCGGGCCATGCCTTGACGTGTAATAACGGGAGCAAGATCACGTACCATGGCAGTGTGGATTTCCAGTTGAACTGCGTGCATGATGCGTTCTTTAATGCTACGTGTGATGCGGCGCCGTTTGAGATTCCGGTTTTGAGCTACGAGTGGGTTTCCTAGTTGACTTTTGGAGGGGTTAGGGATGGTGGTAGTGGGGTGAGCGGGCATGGAAGGGAGATTGGGGAAGGAGTGGGGAGGGGACCTAGGGCTGGGGACCGGGCGGGTGTAGATAGCTACCTGTGTTAGATGTGTGACGAGCAATGAATATATGTATGTCTGTGAACCATCGAACTATGAGGGCATGACTGCGTCGGGTGAGCGTGGAATCAAATCCTAGATCTCCGTCCAATATCCAATAATGTAGGTCCGTATCTCAGTCCGCAGTGCAATGCACAGCTCACTGCGTCGGCAACGGAAACTCCGCACATCCCACCGCCAACGCACTCACCGGCATCAGGCTCGACACCGTCCCGTTCGCCCCGAAGGCCATCGCCTGCCCATCTGGGGTATACGCGGGCCAGCCCATGCGCGGCAGGGCGTAGACCGGGTCCTTCACGAACGCCAGATACAGATCCTGCCAGCACGTCGACACCGCCCGCTGCAGCGCCGTCGGCGCACCCCCGTACCACTGGTAGGTGCCGAACAGCAGCGGCAGCTCGGAGGCGTGGTACGCCCCCTCCCACGGCCGGGGCGAGGTGTTCGGGAAGTGCGCCAGGTTGTACCAGCGGAAGGTGAGCGCGGAGCTTTTGTAGCGTAGCCTGCAGGCAGCTGTCAGTCATTCCTGTTCCGAGCAGAGCTTTTGTGGACAACCTCACTCGTTATAGTAATTCGCCGGACACTGATCCGTCTCCAGCGTCTGATGGTGGATATACGTCTGGTTCGGGCCCTGGGGTCCCACCCACGCCACGAGCGAGGCTTCTTCGTTGGCGTTTGTGCCGAGGATCGCGGGCTTTGCAGTTCCAGTTCGTCAGCGTATGTCCCCCAACCTTTTTGATCCCCCCTTTCTTTCCTCTCCAATAACACAGCACGTGGGGAAACCTACCAATCCCGAATGATTCCCATCCAGCGCGCGCTCCGTATAGTTCGCAAATTTAGTCACCCCATCCACGATGGTCGTGAACTTCAGCGCCGGCGTGTCCGCTCCGAGGGTATAGTTCTCGTAGAAGGCCACCAGCGCCTCCGCACTGACATTGTGGCGCATGCACGCCAGCTCCTCGCTCGCACTCAAGTTGTGACCGCAGCCGAGCTGCTCCGCCACGAAGGTGAAGTTGCTGTGTGTGACGTCCTTGCTGGCGCCTGTCGCGAACACGCTCCCGGAGTGCATGATCAGCCCGTGCACGATCGGGTCCTCCGGCCACGCGAAGTTGAAGTAGTCCACGCTGGCGGCGCCGGAGCTCTGGCCCCACAGCACCATGCGCGAGCTGTCGCCGCCGAAGGAGGCGATGTTGTCGCGCACCCATTCCACGGCGAGGCGTTGGTCGAGCAGGCCTTGGTTGGTGTTTTGGTTTGTGGCGGCCAGGCCGGCCGCGTTGGGGAAGCCGAAGATGTTGTTGCGGTAGCTTCGGGGGTTTGTTAGTTGTTGCGGTGGTGGTGGTGGTGGTGGTGGTTTGCGGGATGAGGGTGGGGAAGGGAGAGGGCAGTTAGGGCTGGGGATTTGTCGTAGTGGACCACTCACTTGACCGCAACGACGATGTGTTCTTGGGTCCGCTGAATCCAGGGACTCGGGTTGAATCCGTTCGTCAGCAGGCCTCCCTCGTAGAAACCGCCACCGAAAAGCCAGATGAGGACCGGCAAGGGGCCTGAGGTGCGCGGGTGGAGCGGCGCCCAGATGTTCAGGGTGAGACAGTCTTCCGACCAGGGTCCGTAGGGCTGCAGCCACGGGGAGTCGATGGTGTAGACCGACGGGTCAGTGACGGTGGTGAGAGGGTACTGGGGGCAGTTGGGGGAGATTTTGGTGGCGTCAATGGTGCTGTTGGCATGCGCTTTGGGTTGCGGTGGTGCAAATCGGAGATCGCCGAGGGGGGGTTCGGCAAAGGGCACGCCCAGGAACTGAGCCACCCCCGGTGTTGATCCGTTGATCATGCCATAGACCTGACCGATCGTCGTGTTCACCTTCAAAGAGAGGGCGGTCGCTGTAGGGAGGAGCAAGCCTAAAGAGATGAGGGACCTCATCTTGTTTGCATGCGCTTGCTAGATACTGCGTGTTGTGGTCCAAAGTATAGACTACCGTGGGTTGCTTTATACTCCTGCTCTTTGTCCTGGGTATGGCAAGGGCGGGATGATATTGCCGAGCCAAGATCGGTTTACCGGTTGTGCCTGCGGAGTTTAGTCCTCACCAGGCAAGGACCAAAAGGTTAGCTGATGGAGTGGACCCTAGAGTGTAGAGTGGTGCGGGGAATCCGGGGTGACAACCCCAACAATGACACTCAGTCATGCGGGATGGTGCGGGTGTACTCCAGACGGAGGTCTTCCTATGGCCCAGAATTGCCGGTTTCTGCATCCCTGACTCGGTTTCTTGGATATCGACAGAGGGGATGGCCGGTTCCCCCGTCGACGGCGGCTGAATCCTTTGGCGGACGAGGACTTGCCGAATCCTGCTGGCTTGGCTGAGGGCTTGTGGAATCTGACTCGCCAATTATCGTCAGTCGACAGACTACAGGAACACATGCGAGCTATAGCACTGAGATTCTATCTATCAAATTCTATGAAAAATGAATCGATGTATTAAGTTTGTCCGAACGTGACCATCGGCAAAAGCCACAAGATTATCTGTCATACATCCAAGCAGGGAAGAATATCCGCACCTGTGATGCAAGGCTGTGCAAGACTCCAGATCTCGTGGTTCAAAAGCAAACCTGCCCCTTCTAAGGCGAGGGCGATGGGCTCTTCGCCTCAGCCCTCCGCGCAGCCTCCTCCCTCTCTTTCTTGCGCCACCCCGCCGCAAACCTCCACTGAATGAAGGGACCCACCAACGCCAAAAGCTGCACCGCAGCACAGATCGTGAATGCGACTCTGACTCCCACCCCATCGATCATCGGCATGATGAAGTTTGTGCCCCCAGCCGCAAACAGACAACTCGCGAGGTTCAAACTGGCGCTGGCGGCCGCACTCCGCTCGGAAAACACATCCACAAGGTAAGTCATGATGAGCGACTGCGTCGAGACCGCCGTCCACCCGGTAATAAGCGTCGAGACAATCGGCACCGCGATGTGTACTTTGTGCGGATACTGGATCGTTCATCAGAACAAGATGATGGAGCAGCACTGCAGGACCGAGAAGATGGGCGTCAGGCGCAGACGCGCTCGTTCCAGGGGGAAATCTGCTTCCCGTGTGGAGGCGAGGGCCGTCGCACTGGTGGCATCGGTGGTATATCTAGAAAACGCACGCTGTGACAAGCTAGTGGGGACCCCAGTAATCATAGATACAGATGCTCAACATTAGCCCCAGTGCATTAGTGGTAGTTCGACCTACCCAGACAGATCAATCGACGCATGCATAAGAAGCACTGGGAAAGCGGGCGATCAAATACTAAATCTCGTTCATCTGATTTATGAAGTGTGTGCAAACTGGATCTATTGTGTTCACACACTAGGAAGCACCTGGAATCAACTTGTCAAGGCAATGTGAGCTAATCGGTACTTGGGCGTCAATTATCGAGTAGACTGTATATTGACAAAATATGCTCGTGATAAGCATGCATAATCCGGATTTAAGCTTCTGACTGTCAGCCAGATGCAGAAGATTCAGGCCTACAAAACAGAACAAATGGGAAGCCGGGGTACCGGTCGGTCACTGTCATACTGGCAAGGGACCTTCGTTGGATTTGTGCCTGTTTGCTTCCTGGTCACTGGTCTCTTCGGCACCCTCTCTTTCTTGATGGGCCGCTAAGTACTCTGAGATCTCCAAATGACTACGGGCATTGGAAATGTCTAATGGAGTACGATTTGCCGAGTCCGTCGTCAGAGTGCGTGCTCCTGCTCCCACCAACAGCTCACAAATCACCATGCTGCCGACAAAGGCGGTCTCGTGAAGTGGGGTCCAACCGTCAACATTTTTGATTTCGACGTTCGCTCCGTGTTGAAGCAGCAACCGAACGACCTCTACGTGGCGTTGCTTCGCGGCCTCCTGGAGGATGGATCGTCCACGCTCCCCAACGGCGTCGATATTAGCCTGGAATTGTAGTAGTAACTTAATCACCGATACATGGCCCTTTCTCGCGGCAACGAACAATGCGGTCCGGTCGATCCGGTCGGCCATATCAATCTCAGCCCCGTGCTGCAGCAGCAGCTGGCATACCTTCCTGTGGCCTGCAAAAGCCGCTTCATGGAGTGGGGTCCAGACGTCTTTGTTGCCGAGATTCACGACTTCCACGGCCCCATGCTTGAGAAGCACTGTCACGGCTTCAGTCCGGCCTGCATTTGCAGCGGCATGAAGAGGTGTCCACCCGTGATCGTTTTGGATCGTCACACTCGCGCCATGTTGTAAGAGGAGTTCGACCAAGTCCATCTGATTATATTGCGCAACAAGGTGAAGGAGGGTACAGCCACATTCTAGCCTTGAGTCAACACCTGCCCCCATTTGAAAAGGAGCCTCTGGCAAGCCCCCACAGAGAGTGTCGAGATCCTGATGTTTCAAAAACAGCTCGTTTAGCTGAGACTGTGGAAGGTGCCTTAGATCGAGCTGGTCTTGGGCATTTCTCGTCGGAATGCCTGTAGCAAAGAGAGCTGGTTTTTGACCCGGGTTCGGCTCGGGTGCGTTTGCAGTCTCTGCATGAATTAATGTGAGTGATTTGTCCATTCGACATTCTAACCTTGGTTTTCTTTGTCTTTCGTCTTCTCTTTCTTTCTTTGTCTTTCGTCTTCTCTTTCTTTCCTCGTATCCTTCTCTCTTGAGGAGGCGAGGAATCCGAGTTGGGGGCTGGGAGATTACTTCATGGAAAACCTACCAGAAACAATATCCGATTCGTCGCCGTCCGTACTTGCCGATTTGACCTGATTCGGGGTCTCGAACCAGGCATGCTGTAAAGCCCGAGCGGCAGATAAGCGTCGAGCAGGCTCCACCACAATCAGGGCCTCAATGAACTTTTGGCTGGTCAAACTCGAGTCCACTAGCCGAAGTTTCGAGCACGGAAACGGACCTCCCCGCACAAAAGCCCGGACATGGGAAGAATTCTTGAATGGTAAGGATCCCGTGAGGATATAGAAAGAGATGACGCCAATGGACCACATATCAACTGAATTGGTGTATGCTAGGTCCCCATCCTCGTCTTCCATGACCCCATATATACCATCCCGCACTTCGGGAGCGAGGTACTGGGGTGTGCCGATAACCGTTCGCAGGCGGGTCCCGTCTTTGACTCGCTTGCTGATTCCAAAGTCACCGATCTTAACATGCCAATTAGGGGCGCCCTGCACCACAAAAATGTTCTGGAAAAAGAGTGGTCAGATTATTCGAGCGTGTCTTTGGGGTTGAATCTCATCCCTTGTCTTGGTCTACAGGGTGCGAAGCGAGGGAGGCACTTACCGCCGGCTTGAGATCGCGATGAACGAATCCGTTGTCATGCAAGAGCTGGAGCCCCGAGAGTAACTGAAAGATGATCGTCCGAGTCTCCGCTTCCTGCAAGGGCTGGCTCGATAGGTATTTTGACAGATCCCCAAGTTCAAAGTACTCCATAGTGATATAGACCGAGTCGGGATCCTCAAACCATCCGAGCGACTGGACGAAGAAGCTGGTATACTTAGGCTGCGAGAACCGCACCATCGCTTGGATTTCGCGGGTATAATCCATATTGTGGTGAAACATGATGACCTTCTGCACTCTTTTCACCGCACGGAGCTTAGGCGGCTCACTGTCGCTGCTGGAACACGTCTCTAACCAGACATGTCCGAAGGCGCCAACGCCCAGATCTTTGCTTTTCACCCATCGTTCCTGCTGCTTGCGATTCCACCAGAATAGGGAGTCGAACCAAGTGCTAGGCTCTGCGGACCCATTGTGGGTGACAAAACCTGAGCCAAAACTGACAGGGAGCTTGTAGTAGCTTATGGGGATCGTTATCTGGGTCATGTTGCAGTGAAGATCTAGGGTGGAAATGAAAGACACCGGGCGGTGATGGGGTTTGATTAGGTGTGACCGGGCCAGCAAAGACCGGGAATTTAATGTCTCCTCCGCACAGCATGCATGGGGTCCAGGCTGCACCGTACATTTAGCAGTTGTGAAAAGGGTCTAAGCCTCGTATGTCGGTCTGACATGCATAAAGCAGGCTTGCCTCGCTTTGCCTTGTCTCCAAAGCCCCCAAGTCAGCTGGAGGGCAGGGATAACGGCCGGTCTAGGCTGAAGTGTCGGGCGGGGTAGGGCTTCCCTGGAGTACAAACCCTGTATGCAATTCACTTTGACGTTGACTTGGGCCCCTTACGAGTCAGCTTTCGAGCATCCCTTCCTTCAAGCCAATCATTTGTGCAGCTGATGGTTGGTTACTAAAACCGACATCTTATCCCACAAATGTCGCCATTGGCACCACCAGAGCAGTATCTGCCGTTACCTTTCTTGGTCAGTACATTTTTGACTAGTGAAAGCCATAGGTTTGACTAAATGCGAAAGCAACACTCGGCAGAGTCCGGCTGTGGTGGCAAAAGATCCGAGTCACCACCAGAAAAGGGTCCTTACACACACCTCGAAGGCATCCGAGTTTCTCAAGATGTGGTATACTCAACAACTCATATGAGGAGGTATACGCTATTTGTCAAATGCATTATAGATACTGATTCTGTAATCTCGGATCTCGACTCCGGACAGGGTCGGGTTAGTGACATCTGCAATGTGGTGTTCCCTCACCAGTATTAGTCTCAGCAGCCATCAGCACGTTAGCTCCAGTAGTACATATATCGCTTGATTGTCTAGTATTGAAGCGGCGGTGGCTGAATCCCAAGGGAGATCGTCCGATACCAGGTGGCTGTACCATCTACCGCCTCCAGTTTGCTATGAGCGCTTAGGACCGAAGGTACGTGCAAGTCACTTGAGAGATGCTTAGTTCATTATTTCAAGTCAAGTACTCCGTGCAGCACCACCCTTATCGCGCAAACCTCTCAAAAGCCCATACAGCAGATGATTGGTCATCAAGATAGGCTAACAGGTCATTTGGCTGGAAGACTACCTTATGCCACAACCAGCACTAAAACCAGGGTCAGAAGCCGCCCGGCACCGCTGCGCCCTGTTCTAATTACATAAGCTTCAATAGCCCCCTTCATCCCTACTAAGGTCCTTCATTAGAGAACGTACAGGCAGTACAAAGATTGCATCATAGAGGCAGGTCACTAATTGACGTGCAGTTCTGGGACGTGGCCTGATTTCAAAGGACAATTCTCTAAGCCAAATCCCATGATTTTCTTCCCCCACCATGTCCGGTATGTCGCTAGGGATAGCTGCAATTATCATTGGTTATTCTGCGCCACGTATGCCCGGCCATGGCCTCTCACCTACCTGTCTTTTGAACACTGAGGTTCATTGGTGACGTTTGACGACACGAAGCTACGGTCGAATTGTCTTTGAAAGGTATAAGTCCATCAGCCAAGGCTCGCCAGACCTCGTCGAGAAGGTCGTGATCGTAGTGGCCTTCTTGACCAAGGTTTCACTAATGATTATACCAACAAAACGGCGTTTTTCTCAAGTTCATGTCAAAGAAGCTAGAGCTGGCAAACATTGATCACAGTAAGGTCAAACGATGCCATAAGCCCAACGAGCGATGAGATCCTGCACGCAGCTAGGGATCAGTCACACTATGGCCCATTTCTAAGCACGCCCTTGCAGCAAGCTATCCTGGTTTTGTCAAGCTGGCAGGCTATTTTTCATTTCTCGTGGTATGTCATAACCAGGAACTCTTCGGAATAAATTGATTGGGGCAGTGGCCCGGGCGCAGTTTTGATAAAGTGGCTGCGGCTGCTGTTCCACTATTTCTTGCAGATATCCTGCAGGAAGAGGCGGTTCATTACCTGCCGAATTCTCCTGGAAAGAGATTCAATGTACATAGCGGGCTGAGGGGGTAAGTTACAGTGGTTGTACTACAGTTTTCTCCAGTTATATACAGGTTTTATAAAGTTGTATAAATTTTTTACTAATTATAAGCCCTTTAAATCTAGGCATACTAATCTTTATATAAATAATAGATTATACTAAAACTATACCTTTTTAACTAGATCTAAAGTAGTTCTTATATTATTTTACTATAATAATATACTTTAATCTTAAAGTTATACTAACTGTTATATAAATTATAGTTATTTATAATAGTAATTTAAACTATTAATATAACTGTTCTACTCTGTAAACTAAGATATAAATAAGTATAATTTTATTTAAATTTTATTAAAAATAAATATAATTTTAACTAAATCTTATTAAAAATAAGAGTATTATCTTATTAAAATCTTACTTTATTATTTGCTTTTTTAATATAGTATTTCTAATTTTTTATATATATAATTATTTATTAAAAAATAAAATCTTTTTTTATATAATATATTTTAATTTTTATATTTTTTTTATATAATATATCTTAACTTTTTTATTTTTTATTTATTTTTTTATTTTTTATAACAATCTTTCTCCATCTTTTTATTTTCTATATTAATCTTTTTATTTTTTAAAATATATTTTAAAGTCTGTATTCTCTATATTTTTAATATTTTTAATATTTTTAATATCTATTTTTTTTTATCTGTAAGTAAAGTAAGTAAAACTAAGTTTCAGCTTTTATTTCAGCTTTAAAACTAAGATTTTAATATTTTTTCATAAGTAGTTTTTAAAGTTACAGAGTAATATTTAGTAACCTTTTATAATATACAGTAATATTTTTTTATTATAATATATAGTAATCTCCTGTAATATATAGTAACCTTCTGTAATAATTAGTAATATAGTTAGATTATATAGTAAGTTAATCTACTAATTAGATATATATAAAAAGCTTTTAAATAATATATATTTAGATAATAGTAATAGAGATAAAAATAAGTAAGTAATAGAATCTAATTTTTAAAAAAATTATATAGGATTATAGAAGGTATTATACTTAATATTATATAAATTATAGTTTAACTAGCTGAAGTTACTATTAGTTAAGCTATATTAAATTAAACTATAGAATAACTACTTAAAATATATAAAAAAAAGAAAAGAGGCGTCTTACCAAAAATAGTATAAAAATATTTAATTTATAATAAAATAAATAAATAATAATAATTCTTAGTACTTATTTTAAATAAAAAAAGCTGGGATAAAGCTGACTATTTTACTTACTTTTTATAAATAGTAAAGTATACTAATAAAATAAATTATAAAAATATTTTCTTTTAGCAGAATATAAGTAATAAAAAAAAACTGTTTAAAAGATTTGTACTATTTTTATTATAATATACTTATCCAGTTAAATTAGCTAAAAGTTAGAAGAAACTTCTGTTTTTAGAACTATTTACTTTAAAGATAAGTAAAATAATTAAAATAATTAAAATTATTAAATATTAAATTAATATAAAAAGTTTTTATAGCAGATACAAACCTGTGTAAGACTAGAAAGTTAGATTATTATATTAAAAAAAATAAATATAAAAAAGGTAGCAACAGAGCTATTAAATAATATAAAAAGTTTAAAAATTAAAATTTTTAAATTAGATTCTAGTAAGGACAAGCCCTAGTAGTAAGCTAAGATTTTAAATAAAAAAAAACAGTTTAGACTATTTTATAAATTAAATATTTACAATCCAACCAAGCCTTTCTGGCTAGTAGTAAAAATTAAATAAATACTAATACTAGATAAACTAAAAAATATTTCTAAAGCTAAAAAACTAATTAAAAAAATAAATAAAAGTAAAAAGGGTAAGAATAGTATTAAAAGGTTTGCTAAAAAATATTAAAAATATTATTTTTAAAATATTAAAATATTTAGTTATATCTGATTTTGAAGCTCTACTAATAATAAGTAAGAAAAATAATTTAATAAAAATTATTTTTTAAAAAGTTTAAAAAGCTGGAGTAAATCTAGTAGTTTATTAATAATTTTAACTATTAAAAAAATTATAATAAAACCTACTAAAACCTTAGGATTAAAGATCTGGTATATTTATATTTACTAGATATAGTTATATCTATAGTACTAAAGTTCTAATAATTTATTAAAATTTAAACTATTATTAAAATTATAATTTAAAAAATAATTTCAAAAGTATTACTAACTAATATAGTTAGACTGGAAAAAATATAGTAATTTATTAATATTATTTTTATAGTAAGTAATTAAAAAGATTTTAGTATTAGGCTTTTATAAGTAACCTCTAAAAGTATATAGTATATTTAATAAAAAACTAAGTCTAAGAACAAACTTACTATAAAAAAACTAAAAAAACTAATTTTAGTACTAATACTACTATATTTTATCTACTAATAGTAGACTAAGATTTTAAGTATTATAAAGTAGTTAGTACTGTATATATACTATAAAAAAATATAAAGCTAAAAAAATATTAAACAGATTAATAATAAACTAACAGCTAACTATAAAATCTTTACTAAATAAAAGTAATATCTAATAGTTCTATTAAATAGTTATAATATATTTAAAAGCTGCTATAGTATTTTAGATATTAAAACTTAGTATATATATAAATATAAAAGTAAGTTTTAAAGTAGAAAAAATTATTTAAAAAACTATTTTAATAATATAAAATTATTTTAGGCTTATTATTTCAAAAAAGGCCTATAATCTGTACAATAAACTATTAGAAATATCCCAGGCTGTATAGTAGGCTAGAAATAATTTTAATCTTTTATTTATAATAATATTTTTTTAATAACTATAACAGTAATTTTATTAGATATTTATAATTATTTTTTAAAAAATATTTAATATCTAAAGTAATAGGGCCGGCAGCTGTAAATAGAGTGGCTTAATC